ATGCCCGTTTTCACTGAAAAGCCTCATGTTACAAGTTCAAACTGCTATTAAACGATGAAAATTGCTTCAATACTAATCAAACTTGGCACAAATGTTGACTGAACCATTGCTTTGTTACGACAGGCTCAGTCTTAAATTTCCTGTTACCATCTCAAAATTGCCAAAAATCACCATTTTGCCTCGATTTTTTCCATCAAAATTTATTTCAAAGTGCTGCAACTTCTCAAGGGATTGAGATAGAGTCAAAGGCTTTTCAGCGTTGGTTACACGTTACTTTATGATCGACCTGGGGTCATTTTTAGCCTCTCACAAGTCCAAAATTTTCTTGACTCCGCCCCCTTTCAAACACCCCAAACAGAAAGGGGCACATCCCCCTTCTGGAAACCCCCTGATGTATCTTTTGGATGGGGGGCGGCGCCGAAAAAGTGCTCACTTTTAAAGCAACATTTCTCAAACGAAAACATGTGTTTGTGGCCCAAATAGGACATTTTTTTCACTATTTAAGGCCTAAAAAAGGGGGGGGGGTCGAAAGTGCGTTGTTTCGCGTATATATGTGGTAAAGGGTTAACAGTATAAATAAGCCATATTACCGTACTTTTATGTTGTTCATTAAAATAACATTGTTTTGTTTGATAAATGGATTTGATAACAGTCACTTAATGTTTTTGTAATATAGTAAGGTAAGATGGGTTTCTTTCGCATAAACAATAATGTTTAAAAATGCATCGGTTATTGTTAAATCTTGTAGTTATGAGGAGCGCACATACAATATTTCAGGTTTTTTCTTGTCAAACTTGTTTTCAAACAACCGGTTTCGAATTGTTATAAATTGTGCCCCTGGGTCAGTTTTGGCCCCGCCCCGAATCGTTTAGTAAATATAGTCTTTAAGAGAAAACATAATCATCAACGTCTTATTTTGTGAAACTTCAATGCCTAATGTTTGAACATGTAGCATAGCATTGTTGACAAAATTTGTATAAATTATGCCCCTAGGGTAAATATTTGCCGAACCTCTGGGGTCACTTGTTATACACTAATACTAAGAACATTTGCAGAATTATGTCCCATTTTCTATGTTGATTTGATAGAACTATCCAGCAATGCTTGCTGTCCCCGGACAGGTCTTGTTGCTGGTTCGTGTGGGGGTTGCGTTCTTTAAACGCCGTCTTTCCTTGTTGATCTTGTTGTTAGAATATGTCATAGCTCTAATTGTTATACTGTTTCGATTCAATGCGACAAAATGTTAAGTTATTGTGACAGTGTGACAGCGGGACTGACGGACAGACAAATCAACTCTTTATTATCCCTTACACTTTCTTATTTTCTCAATGCTTGACAGTATGATAAAGGCAAAGTAGACAAGAAAATTGTATTTTTTTTCAGTTTTTGAGAACTGACTTTAACAAAAAATGATGAAAAACCTTGGAATCATGGCCTTTCGAATAAGTGTTATTGTGTGGCATTTGTTATTTTTTCAATTAACAAAATTTTTTTAATTAATTTTTTTCTTTAGTTGTAAAAGGGATGTAACATAACAAAACTGATGCAACCAAAACAAAACTGAATTTTAGGATTCACTGTTCTTTTAAAAAGCATTAAAAAGATTAACTTAAAAACTTACGCTAAAGAATCTTTTTTTAACAATTTAGAATACTCGTTAGAGGAATCATGTAATAATAATCCGCAGCAATATTGGAAAACAGTCAAATTAATAATAAAAGTAATAAAAGAAAACTCTAGTACGTTTAGTTCAATACCATCTCTTATCAATAATTAAAAATAATAATGAGAAACATTTCACAACTGATTCCGAAAAGGCCAACTGCTTAAATGAATATTTTACTTCTGTTTCAAACATTGACTCATCTAATACTCATCTTCCGGAATTTGTTTACAAATCAAATAACAATTAAGACGGTTTTAGCGTAAATACTCAAGAAGTTATAGACATACTATCACTTTTGCCTGTAAATAAAGCAGTCGGGCCTGATGAAATAAGCCCTAAATTATTAAAATAAACTCAATACAGTATATGCTACCCATTAATTATATTGTTTAATATGTCTCTCTCTGCAGCTATTTATCCAAATACTTGGAAATTTGCAAAAGTGATGCCACTTTATAAAAAAGGTAACAAAAACTCGCCATCAAACTATAGACCTATCTCATTGATTAGCTGTGTAGGTAAAGCTATGGAAAGGGTAATTTTTAAACATATATACAAAATAATTTAATCTATCCATTACAGTCTTGTTTTATTCCCGGACATTCTACGGTATAGCAGCTTATTGACATTTATCATCAAATTTGTAAATCATTTGACAAAAAACAATCAACATGTATAACATTTGGAGATATATCGAAAGACAGAGTCCGGCATCCAGGCCTTATTTTTAAACTTACACAGTATGGTATTAATGGTAATTTATTAAATTGGACTATCGACTACCCCTTGGGCCTCTTTTATTTCTCATCTATGTTAATGATATGCTGAAAATTTGATGAGCATAACACGTCTTTTCGCAGATGAAAGCTCATTGGCCGTTTCATCCAATGACGTGCGTTACATAGAATCTACTTTAAATCACGATCTCGAAATTATCGATGAATGGTCCAAACAATGGCTTGTAAGTTTAAATCCCTATAAAACGGAGGTTATGTTTTTTTCATCAACTACATCCGACAAGTCTACTCTCCTTTTAATGATAATGATAATGTTCTTAATTTTGTAGATCATCACAAACATTTAGGTATAACTTTCTCAACAGATTTGAAATGGCATCAGCATATTGGTAACATTATTACATAAGCCTCTAAATTTTGAGTACCATGCGTTCACTAAAGTTTAAACTGAAACGCTCAACTCTAAATAAGATCTACATTTCATACATGCGTCCGATATTAGAATATGCCTCCGCTGTGTGGGCCGGATGTACAGTATACGAAAAACAATCACTTGAACAACTACAGTATGGTGCAGCACGCATAGTAACAGGTCTCGATCAATTCGCTTATAAAAGAAGTTGGGTGGGTTTCCCTCTCAGATAGACGTAAAATACAAAAAATAATTACGGTTTTTAAAGCTCAAAATGGTCTTCTTCCACAATACCTTGAACAACATATTTCCATCGCTAGTTTCAGAAACAACAAATTATACTCGTTAAGAAACAACAACAATTACATAACCATAGTTAGGCGCACCGAAACGTACAACAAATCATTTATATCTTCTGCTACTGAATTATGGAATGCATTATGCTGTGTTCTCACCGCCGATCAGATCAACTCGATCAAGCACGATCAAGCGATCGGGTTCCGGTCAAGCTCGGTCTGCATGCGTGATCGGAGGTGGTCGGAGCGGTCTACCTTGGTCGGCATGGCTCGGACTTCCTTCCCGAATTTTTTTTTGACATGTCAAAAGAATTCGAGTAGCGATCGAGTAGATAAGCGGTCGAGAAGCGATCGTATAGTGATCGAGTAGAAGATCTAGTTGATCGAGAATAAATCGTATAACGATCTAGTTTGGTCGGGTATATACATCTCTTACCCGATCTGTACACGATCATCTCGACTTCTACTCGAGCATTATCCGATCGCAACCCGATCAACTCGACCTCTGTTCGATCTATTGTCCAGAATAAGAAGACTACTACCCGACTGCTACACGACCACACACGATCGCTTCCGGATAGTTATTCGACCATACACGAGTTCACGTGACCTTAACAATATATGAATGTATTATTAATAATGCACTGATTTTAACAAGGAATGTTTGAAGATTTTATTCTAAACAATTCGATACACGACTATTCACGACTCGATTACGATCTGGTCTGGAGGAAATCTGGCAGCAATCGATCAGAGGTCCAGTTAGTCTATTTGAGATCGTGTATGACTCGCGTATAGGTCTGGGTGATCGAGAAGAAGTCGGGATGTTGGTCGGGTTGTCGTCAAGAAGAAGTCGCAAAACATCGTGTAGGGTCGACTTGAGGTCGTGTATAATAGAGTGAAATAAGAATCCCTAAGGAAAGCCCAACTCGGCAAAATTGAAAATGTTGCAGGCTCGGTTTGATTGAGCCTGTTCATAGTCGTGGATGTGCATTTAATCCAACTTGCGATCGAGTTGATCTGATCGTCGGTGAGAACATAGCATAAGACACCGAAATTCGCGAAATTATTTCATTGAATGTTTTTGAATCTAGAATGAAAGAAAAGTTTAAAGCCCCCGTAGTGCCTAAACACCTCTTGTTTGGTAAAAGATATTTGTCAGTATTACATGCTCGTTTAAGGAACAATTTTAGCAACTAACACGCTGACCTTTTCAAAAATCACATGAGAGAAAGTCCGACTTGTATATGTGGGAACCTTTGTGAGGATTCCGAGCACTATCTATTTTGCTGTCCATTATTTAAACCTCAGAGACTTATACTTTTCACAGAAACCAGAATTTTTCATCCTCTTATGTTGAGCTATAACTGTGGGGTAGCAATTCTTTAGATGTTAACAATAATGAACAAATATTTTCGGCTTACATTGTTTTAAACTTTTTGATGTTAATCTGTCTTTATCTTTTTCTTTGGTCGCTTTATATGTATACATGTAACTCTTTTCTCATATAACTGCCATCAATGTTGATCAATATATTTTTTCATGGGGAGGGCCGATTGCTAATGTTGTAAGAACTTATGCCCAACCCTTTTGCTATTTGTTAATTCGAAATCAATTTGTTTCTCTGATATTTACATTTATATATTATCAATAAAATATGATTAAACCAGTCAGTAAATTATTCAAGTTTGAAATGTATACCTTTCATAAAAACTGTTTAATTATGTAGTGAGGACGTCAAATTGCAGCACGGCGCAATATAGGGATTGATGTGCCTCACAGCCTGGCTTTGTATTTGCACTCAAATAGTTTGAATAAACTATATCATATTAACAATAGTTTATTCTAAATTTTAATGAAATATGTTTAGACAGAACCAAATCAGTTCAATATGCAAATTAATAAGAGATGATTTTACCTGGTGAAAACTATTAACTTGCAAATGTACAATGTACTGAGGCAACAATTAAAGAGACTTCATGATAAGGCCATAGTTCATGACGGACTGATTTTATCTAAATGTGAACATAAATTATTTGCGTAGTGTATTTCTTTTAAAATCCATACATTAGCGTGAAATGTTAGTTTTCAAAAAGCTGTTGCGTGTCAATTCTCGTACTGTTTAGGAAAAGAAAAGGGGAAAAATGACGTTATTTTATGTGTATACTTATTTGCTGATTATATACGAAGCAAGTGCTGTAGTAAACTTCAGGATAACTAGTTTTAAAACGTGTACATCGTCTAGTTCTATTTTGGATACCGTCAATGGAATCACTGTCAAACAATGTGTAGAGGAATGTTCGTCACTTTTCGGCTGTTCAGCTGTCAACTATAAACGGTTTTATAAACGATGTGAACTTCATTCAAATCAGCACGAGAACCGCGTGGCTCGTCCCGGCGAATCGTGTGTATATATAAAAAGATCAGACATGCAAGGTGAAGATGTAAGTGTAAAATAGTAAAAAGTAGTTTGTTTGTTCAACCATTTATTTCTTTTTTTGGTAAAATGATTGTTTCATGATTTAATTATTTTTTACAAAACATTTTTTCATATCGTCAAACTTAATGTTGAGCTTTTTTTCTTTTATTCTGTAAGCAAGTGATGATATCTACCAGTCATAAACATACAATAAGCTGTGTTTTATTCAGAAAACGAAACACAAACCCATTAATACGGTTATGATCAGTGAAATCTGATCCTTCTGTATCGCATGGTTTTTGACCTATGTGTTTTCCAAATAACGATGATATCCTATGTCTGTTCAGCAAATCTGTACTGTAATGTTTCACTGATTAAAATTGTTAAATAATCCTTTACTCGTCTGAATGTTCCGGTTTGACACATAATTATTCACATTGCAATTGTGAAAACGTGAAAATGGATGTTTACTTTTGGACTATTCAACAAAAAGATATTTTATACCCGAAAAGCACTCCAGGGTGCAAGCAACTAAATTTTATGGGTGGTCATAGTAACTCTAGTGATGACCTATTGTGGTAAACCTCGAAAATAACAATGAATCGAGAAAAAATGGCGGCCATTTTATTTTATTTAGAAAATAGACCACGTGACCAGATTTTATATTGTTAAAAAGTACTATTACCCCTGTAACGGTATAAATTTCTTAGTCACGTGGTACACTTGCATTAACAGTAAGAATAACTCCCAGAGGCCTATGATAAATTAACATTACGAAAAAAGTGAGGGGTAATAAATTAATCTGTTATTTGTTTGTGTGGTTTTACGGTGCACCAATACAGTATATGCCATATGGCGCCCAAACAGGAAATATGATTTTGACTAACTCGAGTAAAGACCATCTCGCCTGCTAGACAGACTCCAGTTATCGCTGCAATTCTTCTGACTCAGAAATTAAAGGCAACCCCTCTATTAATTATAATCGTGAAGCTATTAAATATTAAATAACAGTATATTGTATCATAGTTTGGGGACCTTTCTGTTGAAAATGTGTCAGAGTTAAATCGTATGCGTTAACTGGAGTGCATTTATTAGTTACCCCGCACTCCAGAGCATGACCATTGATTGGCTCATTTTTGCTGGGGTTTACATATTGTGACGGAAGAGAAAAGGAAAGCGACAGAAATATCATATTCAGATGCTCGTTCATTGGTTACTTTTTTTCCGGGGTTTCATATTGTGACAGCAGGGAATGTGTTTTTATGTTTGACTATGATACAAAAGAGAAAGAACACCAAAACACTCGGCAATCTGATTTATACTCGGGGGCTACGCACCCTCGTATAAATCAGATAGCCTCGTGTTTCGGTGCTCTTTCTATTACTTACCACTGCAGTACTCGGTTCTATAAGAATAACCCGGCTTTTCAATGACGATAATTTAATTTTTCAGTTGTCGACAGGCGGGTGTCAAGGTTGTGATGATGGGGACACTTGTGACAACACCAAGTGCGTCCCAAAATGTAAGTGAGATTTTAAACAGGTCATTAAAATGCTATATTATTGAAAAGTTTAAAATGCATGAATGTTCAATTCTAAAATTCCCTCAATACTAATTGATATTTTATGGACCGTCTATGGCTTAGTTGTTAGGGTCGTCGACATCAAACCACTTACCCCTTATCGTTGTGTGTTCGAATCTCGCAAAAAAACATTTAATTTTTTCATGTCAGCTTACGGAACGTCATTGGCTCTACTCAGGTGTCCGTTTGTTCCTGAAATAATGCACAGATGGGTAGGTCATTTGAGGTTTCGTTCAATAATAAAGCTGGGAAGTCGCCATGTGATCGTTATAGTGTTCCCAATAAAGTAAAATCATTTCATTACTCATACATTGATAATATGCTTCATTACTCATACATTTGCATGAGACTTCATTACTCATACATTGATAAGAGGCTTCATTACTCATAAATTGACATGAGGCTTCATTACTCATAAATTGACATGAGGCTTCATTACTCATAAATTGACATGAAACTTTATTATACATACATTGAAACGAGGCTTCATTACTCATACATTGAAATGAGGCTTCATTACTCATATATTGACATGAGGCGTCATTACTCATACATTGACATGAGGCTTCATTACTCATACATTTATCATGAGGCTTCATTACACATACATTGTCATGAGGCTTTATTACTCAAACAGAGACATTAGTCTACATAACTCATACATTGACATAAAACTTCATTACTCATACAGTGACATGAGGCTTTATTATTCATACATTGACATGAGGCTTCAATACTCATACAGTGACATTAGTCTACATTACTATTTCATTGACATGAGGCTTCATTACTCATACATTGACATGAAACTTCAATACTCCTACATTGACAGGAGTCTACAGTACTTATACATGACACGACACTTTATAACTCATACATTGACATAAGGAGGTGATAATATAATATTTATTTTAAACAAAATAGTGAATTAAAGTAATCCTTTTATATGTAATAGATACACCATTACTGCGTTGACGATTTCTGGGTTTGCGTAAATTATACCATAATCACGTGACCTTTCTTATGCCTTAAGAAAGGTCACGTGATTATGGTATAATTTACGCAAACCCAGAAATCGTCAACGCACCAATGGTGTATCTGTTTAAACCTATAGCTCCGCCCAGAAACACTTACTCCTTCGATCTTCAAAACTGAAAATTATACCATAGTCTGGGTATGGTATAATTTACGGTTATTGGAAATTATACTTGGAAGAATTTTACATAAGAAGCGCTGAAGAGCTATAGGTTAACTAATATTAACAAAACATTTTTGAGTTTTACAATAGTTTTACAGCGTTGTATACAAATAATGTTATTTACTCGGTACAGACAATCCGCCATTTGTACCTCTTAACATGGATTTTGACAGAATCGTTGTCCTTTGTAAATTTATAAAATTGTTCTTTATTCGGGCTGATCTACGCGCTGTCCTTTCGACAGCTCTTGTTAATTTTACGAATATGTTCAATACTTAAAGGCCTATTATGCCTCAGAATTGATACAAATTTTATTTCTCAAAAACTCTTGTTTCAGTTTCAAAAACTATTTTGCCACGTATATGAACTTTCTTAAACTTGTTTCCTTGCTCTGTTGACAATTGGTATGATTTTAGTGGAAAAGGCTTTTGTATGGAATTCGAAGTCAAAATACTACCCTGTTTACATTTTGCCATCTCTATGACACGTTGCTATACGTTAAGTGCTACTTTCGTAAGTTGTGAAACATGTTCCATGCTCTAAATCCATTATTAAAACACTTTAAAACCTAGGTTTGAAATCTCTAAACAATTAAAGAATAAGAACTTCTGAGGCATTTTGTGCTTTTAAAAATTTGACGCTGATACAAGAATAGCTTGATTTATGATAACTATAATTTTTAAAAAGATATTATTTTTGTCAGATGTGAAAAAAGTACAAGAAACGACATTTTTGAAATGATGACCTTCACGTGAATTACGAACGTTAGGTTATTTATTTTTCTTTTGGCAGATAACTGTCTATAAATTGGATTTAACTCAATACAGGATTGGAGCAGTACCTTTAGACGCTTGCAAAAATCATGATCACAAAATAGACAAATATCGTTTTTTCGCCGGTTTTTACATTTTTCATGCATTATCATGCATAAATCGGTGTGAAAAGATGAATTAGACCTTTTTAAGTTCATTCCGTTGGGTGAAAAGGCAAGATTTTAGCATTTTATCATTCAAGCGTCTTGTCCGGTATATACCGGAATACGGTATTTAGTGAAGTTCTCCAATCCTTTTTTTAGTCACACTCCTATAAATTTATACAAGGTGTTGGTTATTTCTCGCAGGATATTAATCAAACTTATTAGACTTGTCAAGGAAACATCGAGATATTTTTTTTGAATGGGCGACGTCTCTTTTTTAAGTCTGTTAACGGTAATCAGGTTTTAAATCTTCTTACAGGTGCATACGTTAACGTATCCCTCTAAAATCCTAATCTTTTCCGGTATCTTGACCTGGCAAATATTAAAGACCGGCGAATAGCTACATATATATATTTTGTATTAGTCTTACTCAGTTCAAAAGCAATCATTTCATTTTTTTTCAATTATTACAGTAAAAAAATAAATTTTACATTCTTTATATTGTCTCAATTATTTGCCAATCTATCGAGAACGGATAAGACCGGATCGGCCATTATTCAATTTAGTGAAAGTTATCAGTTATTTATGCCGGCTCGCCACGGCGAGCCGGTATCACGATAGGATTTTACTGAGAAACAACCTAAAACTCCGAATCCATCCAAAAATTTAATCGAAGCTTGGCTTCCAGCTTTCTACAAAATTTATCTGTCGGGGCTGGAATCCAAAATTATTTAGCCAATCAAATTCAATCTTACATAGCGTCAAAAAACTTTCAATTTTCATGCCATTTTTAAAAAGCAGCAAGTATTGCTTTGAGCGCAAAGATATAATGATGATTAAAATGTTTGTTTTCATGAATTCTTTTTAATAAATCATACTTACACTGACTTTTGATTTAGCGATTTCACCTGTTTTCTCTGTAGTAAGTTTTCGTTTGGTTAATTAACATAAGTGTACATCTGGTTCTGTGCATTTTTTTCTCTTTTTTTTCCAGTCAATTTATCCTCTCCGGTATTAAGTATATGTATTTACTGGTGGGGGGGGGGGATCCCGGGATCCGGGACGCCCAGGATCCGGCGGGATCGTATTAGATATAGAGGAAAAACTAATGAACTATATTTGCGTTGATAATTGTCGTAATGAAAGGCCATTAAACGTTAAGTTTTTATTTTTTTATTGTATGTAATGAACGTAAAATTAATTTAACTTAGGATATAGATATATTTAGAGCTATTTATTAACTTAAATGCGGAAATCACAATACTTATAATTATATTCCTAATTAAATGGAAAAATCAAAGACTATATTCTTGAATTGGTCAAATCCCGGGATCCCTATATGTTTTAATACGATCCCAGCTTTTTTGAAAACTATATTCTTGAACTAGACAATTCCTGTGATCTCTATATATTTTAATACGATCCAAGCTTTTCTGAAAACTATATTTTTGAACTGGTCAATTCCCGGGATCACTATATGTTTTAATACGATCCCGGCTTATCTGAAAAACATCTTCTTAGACTGGTCAATTTCCGGGATCCCTATATTTTTTAATACGATCCCGGCCTTTCTGACAACTTGTGTTTTTTTAGGACCTGTGTCTGTCACTCATTCCAATACTAAATAACATATTACAACTTAACTTCGTATAAAGAGACATCTTTATGAATTCTACCTAGCTAACATTTTTTTTGGTCAAGGTCAACAGGCCATATAGTAAATGTGCATAGACATAGGGACTTCATTCTATCTGTTAACATGCATCTTCATATATACTCATTCCTCTTTGTTAAACCGAGAGAACTGGCTTCCATAACTTTATATGTCACTTTTATTTTGATGTTCGCTGAAGTCTCTTCAGCTAACAGAACTGTCATTTTTACATTTAAACACACCCCTGGAAAAAAAATATTACGAAACGACTCGCTAATAGCTTTTTATAAAGCTAACCTTGTTTTTACGATGACGTCAGAAAATCCCTGACGAATTTAAAATGAATCGATGGTAGGCGTTCAGAGAGCTGTCATTGAATTAATTTTTGATGGAGGCAAGTAACAAACTATACTCTAATATTCCAATATATGTTTTAAAAGTTATATCGATCCATACTAGCTTTACGTACAGTATTGTCCATGAATTTTTAATGCAACGGTTTTATATAATAATCAAGGCTCGATGAATCTGAGTCTGCAACATTTTCAATTATGCCGTGTTGGGCTTTCTTTCGGGATTCTTCTTTTCTCTATTTTACTATCCAAGCAACGGCCAATTCCATTGAACAAACAGGAATGTATGCGAAATTTATAGCTGTGCTAAAATTTATTTCCTTTATGATGACTTGATAACCGCCTTATGAACACATCTGCGGATGTTTCTAAATTCACAACAACGAGATAATTTTTCTTTGCAGTGATACATTGTTTGCAGTGTAGTGTAAATATCAAGTTTAAAGCTGCATGCCTCCAGATGAGCCAAAACCTCTCAAGAAAATAAAACTTGGAAAAACTGTTCTGAAACTTTAAGAAAAATAAACAAATTAAAGATTCCGGTGATAATTTATATCTTATGTGTATTAGTGACTGTTTTTGGCAGTATTTATCACCATATTTCTACTGCGTTACTAACGCAGTAGGGGACATTTTTGCATATTTTGACCTCTATTTTGTAATTTACGTTGATTATAAGTGCCGATTGCAATGTGTCAATTACATTCTTTGTTAATTTCACAATAGTTTACTTTAAAATACATTTTCAAAATTTTCATGAAAATTAGGATGAATCTGGAGGCGTGCTGCTTTAAACCAGTTGCTATGCGTATAAAATGTATCTACAGGTAACTGTAAAATCGTCACTCTAGCTAATATGCAAGTTTTGGGCAGTTAGGGTAGGCACACTAGTGTAAAGCGTTCATTTTATATTGAGAAGAGAAAGTAGGGTTTTGAAGGGAGTTTTGTTAATTTATTGAAGTCGGTTGAATTTAATTGTGGTGATCTTAATTGATCAGGGTTTATTGGTTGTAATTAGTTGTTTTGGTTGTTGTATTTTATTTGGTTGTTGAGTTATATCTGTTTGGTAAGATATACTTGGTTGTTATTGGTTGAATGTTTGGAGTGATTTTGTCTGGTCAAGATTATATTAGTTGATGCTTAGTTTTTGAAGATATTTGTAAATATTGGGTGCTTTAGTTTCTGTTATCTGATGCTGAGTAGATTTTGGGAAGTTAATATTGTTGGTTGAATGTTTGTGGTTTATACTGTATCTTAAAGTTGTAAAAATATTCATTTTGTGTACTTCATTTTGTGGCGATTTAATTGTTTTGTGTGGTCATAAGTTGTTTTGTTTAGGGCTTGCGCTCGCCATGTGTCTATAATGGTTTCGAATAAAAGACGTATACGTGAAAAGATATTTCGTATAAGTGGTTTGATAAATGATGATTGTTTGTTTTGGATGTAAATAATGATCGGAATTCTTTGTTTTGGGTGTACATAATAATCTGAGTTTGTTGTTTAAATGTATATATAGATTTGAGAAAAAATATGATAAAAATAACAAGAAAATAGTGTTAACTAAACAATTACATGCTAGTGTTTCCAACAGAGAATATTTCAATTTTAAGTCAGGCGGTGCTGCCCAGCCTGATTATCTTGGAAATTGGTTATAGTTTATATTACTTTATCTTTCCTTATATTTAATAACATCAAGGCAGTCACTCCTCTGATATTTTCCTAGATAGGAAGATGGATTTAAAGTACATCTGGGATCCTTAGCGTGGTCAACATATATATCGCGTTTTTATGACATATCTGTTTCATTTATTCATAGCATGTGCCGCCTTTGAAGTGAAGAATGGTGTTATACATGGCAATATGAAAGCAGTTGGGTCACGCGTAGAAATCGCTTGTTACAAACTTTTCAAGGACATTTCTGGAAAGACGCATGCAGTCTGTCAGAGAAATGGGTCGTGGACACACCGTCCGAATTGCACACTGGGTAAGTACTGTTTGCTGCGTTGTATGCAAAGAAACAAGAAGTATCTTTAAAAAACGATACTCATTGTGAATGTCGTTTTATCTCAAAGAACCATATTTATGTAATTGAAGTTTAATCAAATCGATATTTCAAAAGAAAGCTTGAAAATGACAACACTTTGTTGATTCTAAATACCCGAATCAACAGTTTTGCAACCCCTTTGAAAATAACGAAAGAAAACTAAAATAAAAAAATAAAAATAATTAAAAAAAAAGAACCGAAAGTTAGATTTTTAATCGACAAACATTTATTATAAACAAACCATTCAATCGTCAGCAGTTATATAAATACTTTAGTATTATGTAAGATACATAAAATTATCAAATTTGTATCCATTTCACATAAATAACTGATAGTACCGGATAAGTTCGTTTACTTGTGTGCTTTTCGCTATTTTCATATTTTTTTCTTCAACGGGATCGTGGATGTAAGTGCAATTGGCGGTTTCGTTAATGTTTTAGTGCTTTTATGTCATCTAGTTTATTTTTGTTACAGGTTACACATACATGGGTTGCTATCAAGACACAAAAGATAGAATTCTTTCCGAAAAACATTTCTCATCTAGATCAATGACGACAGAGATGTGCGTTATGGAGTGTTTTGACTCTGGTTTTATATATGCCCAAACCCAGGTACGTTTATCTTTATTTCTTTTCAATAATGAATTCAAAATCATCTATGGCGAGGGAGGGAACTGATATTGATTTCAAAATCATCTATGGCGGGGAGGGAACGGATATTGAATTCAAAATCATCTATGGCGGGGAGGGCACGGGTAATGAATTCAAAATTATCTATAGCGGGGGAGGGAACGGGTAATGAATTCAAAATCGTCTATTGCGGGGAGGGCACGGGTAATGAATTCAAAATTATCCATAGCGGGGGAGGGCACGGGTAATGAATTCGAAATCATCTATAGCGGGGGAGGGAACTGGTATTGAATTCAAAATCATCTATGGCGAGGGAAGGAACAGGTAATGAATTCAAAATCGTCTATAGCGGGGAGGGAGGGGGCAATGAATTCAAAATAAGCTATTGCGGGGAGGTAGTGGGTAATGAATTTAAAATTAGATATGGCGGGGAGGTGTTGGTAAGTTGTTATATTCGATATCAGTAACACACCATTTTTTGTTTCTTCATACATCTACTTACGTATGGATGTAGGAAATAATATGCATATCTACTTTCGATTTAAGTACAGTAGTCAATGCTTTTGTGGGGACACATTAAATATGTCCAAACGGCTAGCAGAAACAGAATGCAATATGCCCTGTAGTGGGAATGCAAGTCAAATATGTGGGGGCGCATGGAAAGGTTCGCTGTACAAACAAATTTAAAGAGGCTGATGTCAATTCCACATACATTTTCTTTATTGCTTTGCAAAATACCAACAGAAAACTCTGAAAAAGAAACCGGTACACCGTGATAGGAATTTTCACGAACCTGAATTTAAATGTGCGAGTCTTGAATTTGTGAAATATCGGATGGAAAGTAATGGCGTGGAAATAAATAGCACTTTTTCATTCTTACAGTGTTTCTGCATTTCTGTTTCTAGACAATGTCATTAATGTCAGACAGTGTAAGACAATGTAAGACAACATTCATTTGTGTAAGACAATGTCATCTATGTTAGACAATGTAAGACAACATTTATTTATTTCAGACAATGTCATTTTTGTCAGACAGTGTAAGATAATATAAGACAACATTCATTTATGTCAGACAATGTCATTTATGTCAGACAATGTCATTTATGTCAGACAATGTCATTTATGTCAGACAATGTAAGACAACATTTATTGATGTTAGACAATGTCATTTATGTAAGAAAGTGTAAGACAATATAAGACAACATTCATTTATGTCAGACAATGTCATTTATGTCAGACAGTGTAAGATAATGTAAGACAACATTCATTTATGTCATTAATGTCAGACAGTGTAAGATAATGTAAGACAACATTCATTTATGTCATTAATGTCAGACAGTGTAAGATAATGTAAGACAACATTCATTTATGTCATTAATGTCAGACAGTGTAAGATAATGTAAGACAACATTCATTTATGTCAGACAATGACGAAGGTGATAACATTACAGTCTCACTACAAACAATATATATTGTGTTACTCGATCGATTGTTTTCAATTATTTATTTTATTTTAAAGCAGCATGCCCCTAGATTCATGTTTAAGTTCTTGAAAAACATGTGAGTGAATAAGGGTAAATGCACTTTTTCCTTGTTATAGTAATACAACATACAATTTGATAACAAGGAATGAAATGTCATTATGTATTAGGAAGGAACCAATTTAGTGTAACATGTTAACTGTTTATTTCAGCTTTGGACTAGTTTGCCGTTTTCATAAAAAAGAAATTGGAAACGTAAAAACATCAACCCAATTATGTGAATTAATTAAAGTATCATCTGATTCACAAAAGCAGAAATCATCCAGATTTATGCTAATTTTCATGAAAGTTTTGAAATGTACATTGTATTTAAAAGAATTAATTTTTAGAGTGAACAAAAAATGTAATTTACAAGTTCCAAACGGCACTTACAATGCACGTAAATTCCAAAAAAGAGGTCTAAATGTGCAAAACAGCCCTTACTGCGTTTGTAACATAGTTGAATTATGGTGATAAATACCGCAAAAGTCATAAATTGCACACAACTTGTTGATAATTACTTGAATATTGAGCCATTTTACTTTCCTTCAAATGGTATAACATTTTATCAAGTTTAATTTACTTGAAATATTTTGGCTCATCTTGGGGCATGCAGCTTTAATTGTGATATAATGTATATAGTCTGTCCGCAAGAAATAACTGCCTTAAAATCGCTACAACTTTTATATGTTTTTCATTGTATTTTTGTTTGGTCTTACTTTACTGGTAGGAAAAGACCTCAGGTGTCCTTCAGTGCATTATTTCAGGCACGAACGAGCTCCTAAGGAGAACCATCGACGTTCCTTAAGCTAGCTGGTTAGCTTCTTCACATGATTGAACCCAAAGCCCTTACCGGGATTTGAACCCACAGCGGTGAGGGGCTAGTAGTTTGAAGTCAACAGTCCACGACCATAGCCACTCGGCCACGGAAACCTTTTCTTTTGTTTTCTCCTTTTTTGTCTTATTTTTTTCGGGGTTGGGGGTGGGGTGGTGGTGAGTTTGCTTTTCATTTAGTTAACACATCTTTGTTATATTTTGCAATGTTTGTTACAAAATATATGACCTTGTTTAAATAAAGGCTTGTTTTCTTTTGAATTACATACTGTTGTGTATTCTTGTTGAGTATATATGATTGTCATGTATGTTATACCATACCTGTAACAAGGGGGAGGAACCTTTAATGGGACATTTGTAAATTATTCTTTATATCAAATTACAGTTGGTGAGTGAGGGACCCTATGACCTTAATTTTGTTAGTGCACCGTAAAATCAAAGAAAACAAATCCATTTTTAAAATAAAAAACGGACAATACGTACACATGCAAACATATGTATACTTTTGCATTAAACAACGTATTCGAATAAAGTTTTGATGTTTCATTAATAAAGATAATATAACAGATGCTTTTTCATTGTTCCTAAAATAGTCCTTGTTTGAACGTAAAGCAACAATCAAAATCGTCTTCATTAACACGGAATCTTCAATAAACTAATTTATCCCAGAAATGTTTGTAATTTTGGCAAAGAGAGCAGGTTTATTGCATTTTAACTAATACAAGATAGATGTTTAATTACAAATAATTGGATAATACCTGAGATAATTTAATTAAAAGCGTATACCTGCATCTTGTTCAGACACAGTTAAATCTGGAAATAGGGTTATTTATAACTTTTAAGTAGGGAATTTCAGAATATGGAAAGGAAGTTGTCTACTGTGGCTAAACAATCATACAAAATATTTTGAAATGTCATAAATTATTTTATTGTTTATTTGTTTAAGAACATAAAAATACCAGCGATGAGGTGTTATATTCCATTTAATGTGGTTAATGTGTTTTTAAAGGCTCAAAAGTCTTAGCAAGGATACTATCATTTTAAAATACTTTTGCGATCAGCTGCCATAATAAATCAATTATTACGAGGATTTCCTTCAGCTGATGGATTATTTTATTTAATAATACCCCCAGGCTACAAAAAAGTTTATTTACTAATTTTAGTTTAGGTTTTGTTGTTGATTTTTGTTTAATAAAAGGTTTGGCACATCATTGTTCCTTTTGAATTGAGTTTATAATATATGACAGTCTATATTATGATATATTGGATGACAAGGTATTATCCAATACAATTTATCTTGTGTTAAATAATTTAGTGCTTACCTCAACTTCCATGTTCTGTCAATGGTAAAAGCCGTTAATTTTTAATATCCGTATGATATATGGAAAGAGCATCGTAAGCGTTATGCCGATACAAAAGAACAGGTACAATAAATACCATATTTAAACTTTAAATATTCAAAACGGGATATATGAACTCGACCACAGTTTGAGTAATAATCTTACTGGACCCTCTGGCAGCTACACGACAAGTATTGTTCAATGTAAAATAATATAAAATAATATTGTCTGACTATCTAAGTCTTTCAAAATTTAGTTGATGGAGCTTAATATTATGTACGATTGCTGGTTCTACTCCGGAGCCCGCTCGTAACTGAAGTCATGTTTCTTAAAGAATCTTAGGCCCTTCTTGATGCCATAATAGAATGTCATGTATTGTTCATAGCTTTGATGTAGTGCAACACACCGAAACAAATTTAACAAATTAGTTACATTACATTACATTATATATCATTACTCCAAAATTAAAGTTTTTTTAGTTAAAGGTATTTTATGAATAACAGGTATTTTGAGTTACTAAAACATAAATATATTTACATGCGATATGTATACTTCGATTAAAAAGCAAAAAATGATAACTTTAAACGAACAATTTAGCAAACAAAAGAAAAGCGTTTGTTTCTATGAGTTACAAATCTTTCTTTTAATATGTTCATTTAAATGGTAAATATTTTAAAATAAAAAATATTTTAAGTTAACAGTATCAAAAACAGAAAATTTAAATAAAAAACAAAGGAATCAACCAACCACCACCACAAACATTAATAAAATACGCTTTTTTCGAAAGCAGGAATTCTACTTTGGTGGTTGGTGATATATCATAAAAATATCATCACGAAAACCATTAATTATGTTAGTTTCTATGTTGTTTTATCAACGAAAACAATTCTATAACTCATTAGGCGTACGACGAAAATTAAAAAATATGGTAGGTCAAACAAATTGTTTCTTTAAATTAATCTTCAAACTAAAATGAAAGTCACGATCCGGCAATTACTATAATAAAAAAGTTAATTTATTCCAAACAAAACACAAATACCATATAAACCACATGGAAAACCTTTGTAATCATGACTTTATGCAATTATCTTTATTATTTCGCTTGTTCTTTAAACAATTATTAGGAATATTAATAAATCTCATCTTTGTCCGTTATGTGTTTTTCCTTCATTACAACTCCAAAAACAAAATGTCGTTTTGTCATTTTCTCTCACTGAGAGGTTTTGTTCTGTTTTCATATAGAGACACTTAATATTTTATAGGCCTAGTACCAGTTACGTGATCCCTC